AGCATAATTGCAGTGAAATAGACACAAAGATTGTTTTTAATGCTCACCCCAAGTTGCATTCTTAAACACATATTCACAAACCACAGGGTCCATTTGTTCTAATTTATCATAACAACATTAAACAGTTCTTTCATTCATGCCAAGAAATGCTATGAATCCCTTAGATACCAGAGAAGGCACCAGGAAGAGCAGATGTTCACCCCTTCTCATCACCAGCCCCTAGTCTGGAAGCATTTTCATATATGATTTTATCAACTCTAAAAGTAATGATTCAAACCTGCAGCCCTTCCTCCGATCAGTTTTCTCTACTGAAGTGACTATAAGCTGATGAAAGTCTGATTAAAAAAATTGCAATACCAGGCTCTTTAATTCTTATTTGCTTAGATAATGCAATGGTATATTGCATGGAGAGAGACTCAAAACAAACTAGGGAATTCTATTTTCTGTCAAAAAACCCACTTCCATGTGGCTATGTGGCTGTTGCTGGCAAACTGAAATAGCTAAGGCAGTTGAGCATCAGCGTTTCTTGTGCTTTTTCAGAGTGACAGAAATAGTGGTTGGCTTGGACCACAACTGTTCATAGACTCATGGGGGTGGGCAGGGCTGTGCAGGGTCTCCAGCCCAACCTCTTGCTCAGAGAAGGCACAGTGGGAACAGGCTGCCGAAAGACCTGCCCAGCCTAGGATGGAGATGTCATGGCCTCTCTGGGAAACCTGTTATGTGGCTTGGTCACCTCCACTGTAAAAATATTTGTTTCATGAAGCCAGAATTTGCCATGTTCTAACTTGTGTCTGTTGTCTTTCCTCCAATACCTCATCTCATCCCATTGTAGACTATTTATCATAGAATCATAGAATGGTTAGAGTTGGAAGGGATCTTAAAGATCATTTAGTCCCTCCCCCCCCTGCCATGGGCAGGGACACCTCCCACTAGAACAGGTTGCCTCAAGCCCTGTCCAACCTGGCTTTGAACAACCCCAGGGTGGGGGCATCCACAACTTCCCTTGACGACCTGTTCCACTGATCTGCCACCCTCATATTGAAAAACTATTTCATAACATATAGTCTAAAACTACCCTTTTCCAGTTTAAAGCCAATCCCCCTTGTCCTATCACCACCTGCCCTTGTAAAAATTCCCTCCCCAGCTTTCCCATAGGACCCCTTCAGGAACTGGAAGGCTGTAATAAGGTCTCCCCGGAGCCTTCTCTTCTTCAGGCTGAATAGCCACAAACCTCTCAGCCTGTCTTCATAGGGGAGGTGCTCTAGCCCTCTGGTCATCTTCGTGGCCTTCCTCTGGACCCACTCCAGCAGCTCAATGTCCTTTTTGTGTTTGAGACTCCAGAACTGGACACAGTTTTTGTTCAACATATGAAACCAACAGTTTCACTAAGCTCTACTGAAGGTTGCAATGGCATGGGACGATTTAGCATATCAGTATCATGAAACAGATCACCTTCTTACCTCCCACAGCACTACAGAAATGAAGAAGAAACTACTTTGAGATCCTCTACCAAAGAGGAAAGCCCCCAGAACTGATGCTTGCAGTAACAGGACTACCAGGGCATGGTTCTGCTAAGGAATCAGGCACAGTGGGGCCATGGGATACCACAGCTCCTGTCAAGGGCAGTACCTGGCCTGCACACACATGGGTCAGTGCTGCTGCTCAAAGCAGTCAACCAGAAGCTGCTTCTTTCCTGTAGACCAAAAGATACACTGCAGCGGCTGAGAGGAAAGCAACTGTCAGAGCAGATGTGATTCACGCTCACCCTGGATCCTCACCTCAGCTTGTGCCGGACTTCATCAAGGTCACACACACTAAAATCACACACTTAATCAAGCTTTGCAGGGATTAAGCTCAGCCAGAGCTGAGGAATCACCTATGCCAGAAGAACGCTGCCATAGGAAAGCAACACCAGCATATAATTGAAATAATTTATTTACCACTAGAGCACCACAAAAACAGACATACGTGTTAAAATACAGAGTAATCGATCACCAAAGTACAACACAGCTGTCCTTTAAGTTCCTTTTTTTAAAAATATCCTTTAAACCATGCCAACCATACAATTGTATTGATGCTGAACACATAAAAAAATGCTGTCCTACCCCATCCAGCTAAGTGCTAAGACTCCCCCTGAGCCCCAGTCAGACCCTTGGGTTTGATCATTCAAGGTGCTGAACATTTCCCAACAGTTTTCAGGGATTTTGCTCAGACAGTGGCAATCACCTCATCGTGATAAGGCCTCTGGCACAAAGTCCTTGACCTGTTGTAGACCCATTTGAACATCATTCGAGGGGATTTACATCAGAGCTGAGGGGTGCTTAGGACTCACATTACCCCCTTTTGTAGAGGGGAATTTCACTCATGAGTTCTGCACGTTGTAGGACCAGGCCTAATATCATTGGTAATTAAGGGGAAATACATGCCTAATAAACAAAAAAAAAGTAGGAGCTTTATAATAGAGTTTTTCAAATACTATCAGTGCATTTTGAGGGAAAAAAGTTTAAAAAAAAGTATTCGATTGTGGGGTAATGATTTACTGAAATAAGGTTTTATACTTAAATTTAGAGAAAAACTCCAAACTCAAACTGAAATTTTCAGCTGCGTCCGGCGCATAGCGAGTATAGTTGGATAACTATGCTTGCTCCTATTCCACTTTTTCAAAGCTTCAAAAATGGTTTTGAGCTGCGTTCTTAGAGCAGAGAATTGCAAAAATGTTTTAAAGTTTTTTTAAAATGTGTTCATCCTTGTCTCCTTTCCTGTCCAACAAAAATACAGTTCTCATACTGAACCTGATAAAACTAATTTTGCTGCCGTATACAACAAAATCCAGAGTATTTACTACCCTGAGGAGTTTCACTGAGTTCAGTGCATCTTCTCACCGGAGTAAGTCTGGCTCAAGCAAGTGTTAGCAGGACAGATTTTTCACTTGTTCCTCTCAACTCACTGAATAAATCAGAAGTCTAACATACCTCCTCCTCTGCGCTGAGTCAATGGGTGGGATTAGATAATCTGTGGGGCTACATTTTCATCGAGGCAATAAGCACAGGCTCTACCAAAGTCCCAAGAAGCTGTGTGTACAAGCCGCTGCGGTACTTCAGTTTTGCATCAGTGTTCTGCTGAAGCCAACGAAATTGCACTTCTTAAAACTGGAGCTGACAACATCAAGCTCAGGAGTGTCCTCCCAGCAGCACTCGGGTCAACGACAGAAAATGTCCTTCTCATCCAAGTAGTGTGTTTCTAATGCAGTTTTCCAGCTTTGCTGTGCAAAACCATTCATCATGTGAAATGAACTGAATGCGCATTCCTCGTAATTTTTTTGCTAATTTAGGTTGGGGCTTTTTCTAAATGAAGAGTATGGTGTGGATTTTTGTCTTTATTCCCTCTACAATATTTAAATGTGTAAAAACAACAAAATCCTAGGAACCCCATGTTCCCTTTTCCTTTTCTTCTTTTTTTAAAGAAGCTTTAATGTGAACTCAATTGAAAAAAAAATTGACAAATCACAAAAATCAAGGGGCTGATCCTGAAAATCCTTACACACACACACCAGTCGTCTGAAGGGGCCTGCCGTGCCACTGTAGAAGTTAAAAGGCAAACTGCTGTTAACTGCAGTAGGAGTAGGATCAGTTTCATGGACTGTGTGTGAGGCCAATGCATGGCCTCTGGCCGCAAACTGATCCCACTCATGCCCAATTTAGGGCATCGTGGTGGCAGACGCTTCCTACCCACCTTCTGCACAGTGGTGAATGTCATTCTCTGCAAGGGTTTGCCTCGCCTCAGCCAGGCTGGGACATCTCTTCCTACAACATCTCGCTCCCTGCCCATCTGTTTGAATGTCTATAGTCAAAAGGAAAAAAAATAAAGTCTAGGAACCCGAACCACATGGTGATTCAAGTGTTACAAGGGACGACCGAGGAGGGAGGGGAGGACAGGGGGAGAGATCATTTTAATCCATCCTTTTTATAAAACAGAAAAACAAATGGAGTCAGGTAGCTTATGTCATAATGATGAACAATATACAAAGCACATGTATAGCAATTATTATAAAACATGTATTTGTAGTGCAAGTCAAAATACAGGGACTCTACTCATACTGGCCAGCTAGAGGGAAACACATGATTCTGAGTGATCTAAAAGAGCCCCAAATTCAAATTAAAACTCATGAGAGCTGACAGTATTACAGAGTACAAAAATATGCTGAAAATTTACACATTACACATAAAGTACTTATTTTTTTAATAGTTTACAAATAGAGATCTACAGATATGTTTCCAATTAAGCTGGCTTTTACTACCCACCTATTGTAATACTCTAGGTATGGTTACATATACCAAAAGACCAAAAAAATCCCATAGCATAGCTATACAGCAACATATTAAGGTCTGAAGATTAGACCAGTACATGTTAAATATTTCACTGGTTTACTAAACTGACATTTTAAATCATTTACAGTAAAAAAAAATCTTATAGACTTGTCTTTGAGACTGAAACAGAGTGTCCTTTATTAGTAAATTATTCAGTATTTAAAACAAGGGTTTGAGACCTTACAAGAAAGCCTCTCTAGGCAGCTGGCATGAAAAATAAGGTATTTTAAAGGCAGAGTTTCTCAATAATGTAATAACTGTTTTCTATTTTAATCAAACTAAACTAACCATTACTTTTCTGATTCCTTTGAGCTTGTGTTCCTTTAGGCTTTATATGTATTTCTGGCAGCTTATTTGGTCTCCACTTTGTCCACATTGGCTGGTTTTCTTTTTTCCAATGGCGATACAGAAATGTTCGTTTGATAGTTTTTACACACAAATAAATAATGCACTGTTAACTCTACAACTAAGAGGAATGGGTAGGATGCCTATTGTGTAAAAATACAGAGAGATCAAGTAAGGCATGTGACAGATACAGCAACTCCACTTCATGGGATTTTCCTGTTTTTTTCCTTTCACATAGTAACACTAACAAATTTCTTCCAGTGTTTATTTTTTAAAAGGTTTTTTTTTCCTTTAACTTTGCTTCTTGCCTATCTCACACTATGTGTAGGTGAAATGTAGGATAAAGGCCTTCAATGTTTTGCTTCAGATGCCAGTTTAAAAACAAAACAAAACAAAACAAACTTTCAAACAGTTCAGACTAGTACCGCTTTTTTTTCTTTTTTTTTTCTTTTAACACTGATGAGCCTGGGTTTTCATTTTCCTTGCTTTCCTTCTCACTCTCTCTTTCTTTTTTTCCTTGGATATTTTTTTTCATATACACACATCATGCTGTTTCAGGGGTATCCTTTAGCTGCACTTGCAAGACTTTACGATCATGTTGGACAGCTGTTCGATTTTGGGTGTTTTGCCAATGTAATAGAGGATGGTGAGGGGTTCCAAATCCTGGGACACGCAGCATGGAGAGGCAGAAGCTTCTGGATTTATTGTGTTATACAAGCTGAGTACCTAGAAGGAGAAAGGAAAAAAGAGAGATTAAGTCAGCTACCTCTGCCTTCCTGCCACTGCAGAGCAAATTCCTTTCTGCATCACTTCCTCCCACAGTGCCTGAGAGAAAGCCCAATGAAAGCAGTACAAACATTCTTGGATTTTAGTATGTTTTATGCTTCTCCAGTTCAATCTGGTGTCACAATCTGCCTGAGTTTCCTAAGACTTTATTCATACAGTCCTGAACCTCAAAACAGGTACATGCCTGGAGTCTGCCTTGAAAGTGTAGCCCTTTGAATAAACAGACATACTATATCGATACAGAAATGAGAAACAGAAAACTTTTCATCTGTGTCTTCAGACTGCCATTTGCTGTTGCAGGATTTTGGGTACACAAGCGCACCAAAGGGAGAAGAGAGTCCTTCAGAGCATAAGAACTCCTCTGCTTTTCCTCTCTGGCTACATTGTACGAAGTCCATTACTGCCACTCCACAGGCACCAGGACTAGAACTGCCCTTACTCCTGTTGAGAATGAGCTGCGCTGAAGTTTGCAGAGCTGGTGCTTTATGTCACGTTGGATTCATAGGCATGGTTCTCCGCAAGGGAAGTATGTAGGGTTACCCACTGATGATGCATAGGTATTTCTGAGGATGCCATTAATGTGTTAGCCAAACACCAAGTGACCTTTTCCTAGAACTTCAACACAACATTTGCAGCTCTGAGAGACAGAAGATCTGTTCAGGACAACACCACTGACACTTTACTAAGCAACTTTTGACTCCTTCAGCAACTATCCAAACCACATATTTGTGACCATGACAGTTATTCTTCCTCTTTCCTTTAAAAACAAGTGCTGCTCGGAACTGTGTACACTACTACTCCACAACAGCATGGAAACATACTTACCTTATTTATACCTCTGCCTGCTGACACTGCTAATAGTACAATGCCACAGACAGTGACAGCTACTGAGGATACCTACACCTGGCTCTGTAAGTTCAGGAAGAACATGCTACCATGGCTTTACAGACCAAAGCCAAAGCAAGCTGCCCCTTAGACATGAAGAGTTCTCCCTGCTGGCTGATTTTGATCTGGTATTTTAAGAGGCTTGAAAATGGGGAGACATAATTCTTAGTATGGACCTGAGGGTGAAATTCTTACTTTATGACAACTGCTTTTGCCTTTACTGTCTAGACATACTTATTGACAGTTGAGAGAAATAAGTTCTTCACAGCAGAATACTACTCATCCTAAGGCAGTTGGCTAAAATACCACATCTAATCCCTAAAATAAAAGGTCCCATCTCAGACGACTATCAGTTCTTTGGTATCCCAGGGACAAGGTTTCTCCTTCGCATATAAATTTTCGAAGTACAAGAATGAATATCTCTTTTGAAGTAGAAGCAGCATATCTTTCAGTACATTTTCATGAAATTCAGTATGGCAGCATATCAGAAGCAATGAAAAATGGCAGGTCGTAAGAGTAGGTGATAATCAGGTGGTATGTCTCAGCCTTTTTGTTACTCTGATAGTGTCTCTCTCTGTGTCATTACTAACCAAACTCATTGTGCCATCATTCGCTCATGCTCTATAACGAAAGATCCCTTCCCAGGCAGCCTCCCAAAGCTATGCCATGCTCACATTCACAAAAAGCATTCAATCCATCCATATGCCATATCAATGAACAAATTAAAAAAAAACAAACTCTGGGCCAATACATTTCTACTGCTTCAACACCAGCTTGAGGTCATGTGCAAGTTCATAATTCTAAATTACTGAGATAACAAATACAAGTTTTGAGCATGGGTGCTGATTAGTCCTAGAAATGTATTTCATCCAGCAGTTATAAAATAGAAGCTGAAAATTAGCAAAATCATTACTTACTCTGCTGTGCTGAGTATCTGAGCTCCATAAATATGGACAGGCTCCTGCACAGAAATTAGCATGATATCCTTTAGGTTCATGAATCCATTTCCAGCCAAGATCCCTCTTGAAGTCAATATAAAGTGGGCGCAGACAACAATTATCCTGCACGTTCCTGGGAAATAAAATAGAGAGAAACACATTGGTCATAACAAAGACAACACAGGGAATAAATATAATCCAATTGCTTGCTTCCTGAGTGATGTTTTACAGGCAGGCAAGTCAGAGTCCCAGAAATTCACAACCAAATCACAGCAATAGTAACTTATACTGTAACTGAAATCAGATGCTTAGACATGGCAGAACTTGCTTATACAGACAAAGCTAACAGTTTCCCTAGAGGATTGGTATTTTTCTCCAGGTCCTACCGAGTGGCCTTTGTGAGGAGGTGAGCACAGTGTAATTATGGGGCTGACAGATCTGGGAATCATCCCAGACGGAACTAAGCCTCTGTTTTCTAAGGCCATAACCTTCCTCATCTGACACTCTCTCTGTGGGATTGGAGAGCGCTGGGCGGATACCTGTGGCACACAGACCCTATTGATGGTGTGAATGAGGGACTGCGCTCTGCATAAATGCCAACCTTAAAGAAACATGAAAAGCAACTGCATTACACCTCACAGACTGGTACTACTATGTAAATAAACTGGATATGGATGCATAGTTACCTAAAACAATAGGCAGCATCTAGAGCACGCTTCTTCCGCCGACTGGGCTGTTGCGACTCAAGTCTGTAGGAGGGTAATAACATTAGCAGGAGATGTGGGGTCTTCCCACTGTATTTTTTCCTATTGGACTTTAAAGCTTTCACATCACCACTGGAATATGTGTAGTCATCAATACCTTCAAAAAATACATTTTGGTGATAAACATTGTGTTGCTTTTTCTTCACAAATTAAATAAACTCTCTCTTAAAAATATTCTCTCAGAAACTGGGCAATGATGGTGTCAGCTGAACATGTATACTGGGGAAGTGGAGGCAAATTTCAACTTGAGATATCAAAGATATTCACAGTTTTTATGTATCTATCATATCAGCCCTCCCGCATTCACAGCCATTTAATGGCACTTCAGCACATTTACAAAAACTGTTGAAATTAATATTGGAAAAGACATATTAGGTCCCTTACTTCTGTGCTGCTTAGTTTCAAATGTCCCAAGCAGTGATGCTTTTGCTGCTTCACACTGTGCAGTATTCCCATTCTTTAACAGCTACGTACCTTTTAAAACCTCGTGACACCATTAAAGTAGCTCTGGATACTTCATTTGCATTTCCCACTACTTACTTCTATCCTATTAGTTTTCTTCATCGCATCTACCTCTTTTAAATATACCACTTTTAAATTCTCTGTCTCCCATTGGCAGTTTCTTTACATGTGCTAATTTTTCCCAGAAAATCAGTTAATCTAGCCGCTTCTTTAGTATGGTCATGGCAAGGACATTGATCAAAATATTTCTTCTTGAAGTGGCAAACAACAACCTTGCCTTTTGTATTTTCTCTTGAAACACTAACTGCCTTAATGGCTTTTGTTATGCCTGTTGCTAACAACCTTTTGAAAATTAACCTCCTGAACCAGATACTACTATTTAAGAAGATACACTTTTCTTTTTGTAACAGTTGCAATTACAGCGACCAGATACCATACTAACAATTTTTTAAATAATACACACACAACGGCTTTAATCATAAGTACAGTACACGTATTTACTTAGAGAAAAAATTCCAATGAAGAGAAACAATGGTTAGAAAAACTTAATACTTGATAAAGAATATAGCCAAAATCCTTGGAAAAGAAATTAACCAAATCATTACTTCCTTTAATAAATGAGAACCGTCTAAACAGAATTTGGGTTGGTTCTAATATAGCCATAGTTTTATAGGTACTAGCGGATGATAACAATAACAGTCGACTAAGTAATATTTCCCTTTTTGAAACTGAAACTTCAATGGCTTAAAAACACAAGGGAGCTTATGTGACCTTGATATATTCACCTTGTCTGCTGTCCATAAGAAGCACATATATCCACAACCCTAACCACACACTGTTGTTTATTTTTTAACGCCCACTCAATCCAATTTTTAAGTTTTTACCAAGCTGTAAGCATAAAAAATACTTTGTGTAACTAATATACCAATAGGTTACAATAAACTCTATGTGCCAGTGTAGATATACAGAGATAATCAATGTTAAGTAATGTAGTCCTCTTGACTTCACCTCGGAACCAGACTTCCACTGCTGGAAGTAGGAACACGTGGACAAGAACATCATTGCTGTTTCTTCAACCCACAGTGCACTGGCAGCAAAACACTGTAGGACATTGATACGAGCCTGGCACCTATTGTTCAGCTCTTACCAAAGCAACTGATGCCATTGTTCAGAGTAATTTTAAATATTACTGATATGACCAGAAAAAAATAATCAAAAAACACACCAAAAAACCCCAAAACAACAAACCACAAAAACAAACAAAACAAACAAAAACCCCAAACCAAAAACCAACCAACCAACCAAAACAAAAACCCACAAAAACAAAAACCAAAAACCCAACAAAAACCAAAACAGCTGGAGATATTTAGTGTGCCTGAAGAGCTGGAAGCACGTGTGCGGGTACTTACAAGCCTGGGACCCTTTCTACTCAGTGAGGACACAGCACGATCCTTCTGTAAGCAAGCAGCCAACTCTAGCCTTACCTATACTTTGGAAATTTGCATGACAAGTACTGTTGTCTCTAACACTTATGAAATGCACCATGCTCACACACATATCTACTGCAAGCAGCTTATACATGTGCCAAACACCATCCTAATCTGAATTTCCAGCAGTACCCTTCTCTACCAAGCTTGAACCATTATTAGTGCTAGGATGGACGGCAATCAAAGGGCTTATTTTGAAGACATACAGCAGATGGTCTCCTGTGCAACAGCCTTCACTGCATTCAAAATTTAACATACATGCAGTGTTCATGCTGCAAACTGTAACACAGACACTTATGGACATCAAAGCTGCAGGCATGGAATGAGACAACTTAGTCATGCCATCTGGTTTTAGAATAGTTCAGCTGATTCTGTTTTACCCTTGTGCCTTCAATACCAGTTCCTACCTGCTGACAATCAAGGTTCTCAAATGACCAAGTTTTCAACCAGTTGAAGGCAATTTAGAGTAATGGCTCTTTGTTTCCCTTCACAATTACTAAGGACCATAACATTTTTTCATTTTTTTTTCTTTCATTACCTGCAAATCTTGCTTCAAGCTCCTCGCTTTTATTTGGGATGATATAATTATTGGAAGGCACGAAGGTGCAGCACGGACAGTGCAAGCTTATCTTAAATCCAAGGTTCCTGTCTGCAAAAACATAAAAGTAAGTGGAGTTGGTTTTTACACATGGAATGACCCTGAAATACTGCTGACTTAATGGAGGAACAGCTGGGGCAGGAGTGAAGGCAAAGAGCACTTGTCACCTCTGTGATGAAGCCACTCATGTACAGCCTCAGTGACATCAAAAGACAACCATTCTCCTTCAGCTCTTGTTTTAACTACTTTGCTGTCGATGTAGCGCTGTCCTGGTGATGATAATTCTTTAGATTTTAGAACCTGCAAGAAACAACAAATACATGTTAACATTTACCAGGTTTTTTATTAAAAACCACCAACATCATAAAATAGCAGAAGAAACTATTACAGCTCAAACCTCTATGCAGCAGATGTACATTCGGGCACATTTTCAGAAAGAATTTTCTTAGGGTGCATGGGGAAAAGAAGGTGATATAAAAATACCCTAATGAAATCAGCTTATGTTCCCAAGCAAAACATACCATCACTTATTCCTTCCTAAGAGAAATCACATGGAAAGACTGCCCTGAAAACGTGTCCTGCAACACAAGCGGTCAGAGACCACCATAACTAAAACATCAAAAGAGGCTATTTTACCTTTTTCAGTAATACTTACACTGGTTAGAGCATGATATCAATGCTAAAGTAAAGCCTGTACAATGTAGTCTGTATACTGAAGATATTATATTGCTCACCTATAACTAAATCTGTATGGTATTGCCTTATTAATGCTTCCAGCCTTCCCTCTGACTTCAAGTACTGGTCACACACTGAACAGAGAAAAGTTACTGTCTATACAGGTAACCTGGGACATGCAGAGACAGCCTGGTGTGAATCATGACCACACATGGATTTGTGAAACAGGCAATGCTGCTTTCATCCAACTTTGATGCCAGCTGTATTTGTATTTGTGTCAAAAGTTTCAGCAAAGCGTGCAATAAAAATATACCTGTACAAAAAACCTTCAGCCTCTCCCTTCCAAGACACAGCACTGCATGCCTAGAATTTCAACTGCCCACAGTCTTCCTCCTATCTAAACAATTCAGCGAGTGCTTTCCCACATGCAAGCATAGTCTGCTATTATTTACACTAACTCTAGGAAGAAAACAACCAGACTTTTGGCTGCTAAAAGGTTTCTGGTTTCCCACTATGTTGATAGTTTTGCAATGCAGGAAGCTGGAATGCCATGCAATGTTAAGTCAACTCCAATCAAGATATCACATGATAACATCACTTTGTAACTTTTGGCATGTCAGCTGTGCGACATATATTGGTTTGGGTTCTTCCTCTCTTTAACCATCCAAGTCCATCTCTAAATGAATAACTGACAATGTCTCATTGTTTTCTCCTGCCAGACCAACCTGACATCTAGCACACTCTGCTAGAATAAGAAAAATACAATAATGAAACTGAATAATACATGTAAAGAAAAACATTTCAAAAGAGGTGTGAGATTATGTCATCATTATAAAATTAAGCTTTTCATAATTAAACAGAAAAGCATACTTGAAAAGGCCACATTCTGTCCAACATGTGCAGTCTCAAGGGAGTGCTGGTCCTCTCAAAGGCAGTGCAGCTCCCACAATAACATTTGTCTTATGAGAAGAACAGCAGCATGACAAGCTCTTTGGCTTCTTTCTGATCAACACATTTAGCAAAAAGACATGAGAAGATGCTGGTTCAAGTCCAGAAAATTAGCAAGTGCCCCTACTAGGCGATGGTGAGTTCTCCACCAGAAATGGAGGGCACTCAAACATTAAACACTGGGGCTCCTTTTTTATGAGGCAATCTTCAAACAAAGTGATGGAACAACTGTTTACAGAGAGTCTGGCAGCAGCAAGGGAACTACCATTGCTCAGAAATGCCAGAGGGATGAGAGAATCAGTAATCAATGCTGGGAAAGTCCCAGAGAACTACACTTATAACTTTGCCTTCCCTTTGGTCTTTATCAGGTCAACTCAAAGTGTTTCTGAGGATGTAATGCAGCTGTCATTCTGCAAAGATGTGTTGGGGCTAGGGGGGATGCAGGGGGTACGTGAGGCAAATGGGACACAAGAATTTGGCTCATTTCTCTTCCTTTCTGCACAGTCATATCTTTCCAAGGACTCCAGAAACTGCATACCTCAGTTTTGGCAGTGATGTAAGGATCTAAAAGTAAGCAATGTGCCAAAAGCAATCTCGTGATGTTAACTATAATTGGTCTTAAATACGTTCTGAAGACTCAGCTGTGCCTTGGTATCCAAAATAAAATGTCTTTATCCCAGTCCCATTGCTACCAAAAGACAAAGTTGAGAGCTGGCAGTGTGTACCTGGCATGAAAGGTGTTTGTAAAAGTACAAGAAATCATCACTGCGTGTATACAATGGTACTTCCATCATCACCAATGAACTGAATCACAAGAAAAGTGTTTGCAGGTTTCAGAACTGTAGGACCCTGTGGGACAGGATGGACACTATGGATTAAAAGAGCTAGATAATATCCATACTATGGTATCTGAAAGTAAGGCTTCTCTCCATGTTGTTTATGCTGCACGTTCAGGAAGAAAATTATGAAGAATGAGCTAAAAAGTCACAAACTAAGTATGGCATAATTTCCACAATTGAAAACATGGGTTAAAGGGGCACTAGTGGTTCCTAAGCAAAAGGCTGTGATGAGCGCCATATTCAGTGAAATTAGCACATCTGCTTCAATCTCCTTGTCCTGGATTGACTAAGTAGCTTTATAGTGTTACGGTGAGGTATGACCCTAACAACCTGGTTACTTGTAAGCAAGAATACTTTCTTCTAGCATCACCATTTGCATTTTTTCCTTCTTTTTCTGCTACATCTTTGCAAGTGTGGAAAATTAATGGGTGATAAAATCCTAGGCCGTATCCTCAAATCCAGAGGAGATTCTCTATCCCCTCCCACAAAATAACCTGATGAAGGACTCTTCATTTCTTTTCCTACACTGCATCCTGCATTTCCACACACACTGAAGCAATTGCAAGGTGCTAAAGAAAAATGGCCTCTTTGTAGGAATCTATCAGAAATTTTTACAGCTAAAATATACTCTTCAAATGAGTCTTCCAGAAACTATTATATAAGATAAGGATTTTAGTTTTCTCTGCCATTTTCCCCCTTTGGTTTGCTTCTTTGTAGTTTGCACTGTATTTCTGGTCTCACCTTCTCCATCAGGAACACACACTTTTTTTTCCGATACACCCTCAAGCCTATATTCCCATTGAAAAACTTCTTTCAGTATTTTCTGTACTTTCTTCCTAGCAGATCAACTACCTTAGTTGCAAAGAAAGAAGAAAAGCCTTTTCTGTGCCTTGCAGTTTTCATGCTTGAACGTTTGTCTACTTTTTCCAACTACACTGATTGGTCTTAGAAGTGATATTACCTTTACCTATAAACATTGCCTTGCCATGCCTATAAGCACTGCCGTACCTTTATGCTTAGCCCATTACAACCACATAAAACACTGTTATCAGAAATATTACTTCACAACGTGTATCTGCAGGAGCCTAAAAGGCAGAAGGCCTTTGTGCAAAAGAGTTTTCAGTGCACTAAAAATATTAACAGAAGACAAGGGGAAAAAAAAAACAACACAGGAGAGAAGGAAGACTGAGTTAAACTTCCTCTTTAATCCTTTCTCATTTCTTTCTGGCACCAGACACAACCTCTTAAAGAGGCAGAGTTTCGTATATTTGTGGGCTGTGACATGGATGGCAAGGGCTTTCAGGGTGGGAGAGAACTGTGCATCACCACCTGCATGTAGAGATGACAGATTCAATCCCTTGCATGAGCAGGAGCAGAGTTTCCACACACACAACCTCAACCCGCTCACTTGCAAGCGACACATTTAAACACCTGCATGCACAAGCAGCTGACAACGCACATCAATTGCAAGCATGCAGGTGCAAGCACGCAAACCTTCACATATGTGAGTGAAAGCTCAAAATCAACAAACTCAAAATTCTGTTTGTGCAAAAACTCTGCAGCTTCTGACATGAGGATGCAGCAGATGTATGTAACTGATGCATCAGCCTGTGTACCATCACTGCTGAAACTCATTCAGTTTTTGTTTGCTTGTTTGCTCGCTGCGGAGGTGATGACTTTATTAGCCTATTACACTCTAAATTATACTTAATTGTATGAGGATGTATACGTAACACATATGAGGATGTTCTTCCCCGTGTGTCTGTTCATTTGGCCTCAGGAGACTGAGGGGTGACATCATTAATGCTGGTAAATTTATAAAGGGTGAGTGTCAGGAGGAAGGAGCCAGGCTCTTCTCTCTGATGTCCAATGATAGGACAAGGGGCAGTGGGTACAAGCTGGAGCAAAGGAGGTTCCATGTGGACATGAGGAAAAAATTTTTTACTGTGAGGGTGACAGAGCACTGGAACAGGCTGCCCAGAGAGGTTGTGGAGTCTCCTCTGCAGATATTCAAAACCTGCCTGGATGTGTTCCTGTGTGACCTCCTCTAGGTGATCCTGCTTTGGCAGGGGGGTTGGACTGGATAATCTTTCAAGGTCCCTTCCAACTCCTAATATTCTGTGATTCTGTGTGATTCTGTGACTGATAATGGAATGCTGTCTTTTCTAATAAGGGATTGTGCAGGGAACATATGCATATGATCACAGTATGTGATGTAGTATTGAATAGTACAGAGTAATTTGCATTCAGTAGCAATGCTGTAAATTCTAAGAACAATTTGGTTTTTGTCTACCCTCTTCTTGTACAATATTTCTCCCTCTAGCAGGAAAGTATATAGCCAAAATACTTGTTAATCTCTTCTTGATAAAGTATCTCGCACACTTCAGCCCTAGCTTCTAGCAATCTTTTTCCAGGAGTACTGCTAACCCCTCATCAATTTTTGTCCTATTCTGACCCTTCTAAAAACACCTGGGGAAAAATTATCTTACAAATACCCATGAAGGATCTCTAGGTATCACATACATGCAGCTACTGCCAGGAGATCAAGGCAAAACAAACACGCGAACATAATAATAATGCAGTTAATTCCAGGAAAGGGCTCATGAAGCAGTCAGATGCAAACAAAGTATTGCTCTTGCTTGTACAGCTACACATGTTTAGAAAGCCCACTTGGGGATCTTGGTGATGACAGCACTCACATGCCACCCTCATCACGCCTGCCAGATTTCTGATATTTTATTAGTCCTGTTGAAATTTGCTCTTCATTGGTTCTGTAAAGACATTCTGCTCAGTCTTCAGGGGGAGACCCTCTGCTCTGCTGTCAGAGGTTTGTCTGTG